AGTTACAGCAGTTATGCTTTACTAAGAACGACCAGCTTAGGGGACAGTTGTTACCAGGAAAATGTATGAAGTCAAGGAAAACATTTGCTCTGGTACCTGCAGAGTCAGCCACAAATTTCAAGCATGCTAAAACTGCTGATGACTCAGGCAACGTTTGCGTGCTCCTCCAGACCCACACAACTGAGTTTTCCAGTTTTTCACATATCTGTTCTTGATCGTCAGCTGTTTGCTTGCGTTTTTGTCTTCTTTTCCTAGAAGCTCACATTTTAAACGTGCATTCAGCACTTGGTTCAGCCCATCATTTTCATTCCTTTAACTTACTAAGTGACCTATTTTCTTCCCTGTAGCACGTAGAAAACGCTGGTTTGGACTCCCTTAGCCCTTCAGCATATTCACTCGTGCTTCTTTACAGCTTTGCCTCCCTGGCTGCGCAGTCCTATCTGTTACTGCGGCTGTAATAGCTCCTTACTTGAGTCCTCCCCTACGTTTTTAACTCTGGCCTTTGAACAGGGACCTTCCAAGAAGCAGTCATATTAAACCAGAGATACCTGTGGTGCATCCTTCCCCTCGGACTGTGGTTTGTGTCCCCCCCCACAACTGCCGCACACCGCGCAGTTCTTCACTGCTGCTCAAAGTCACTTGTGTTCAGAAAGTGGCTTAGGCACCCAGTGACAACCCTAGGCTGCTTTTCCTCTTGTTGCCTATCCAGTCTTGACAGTAACTTCTGTAATGACAGCCTGCCTTGTTATTCTTGCAGGACCGTGTCTCTGCTGGCTTTTGCGTGCTGGCTCCTTCCCTTCATCTGCGCTGAGCATGAACAGCTCACTTTTCTTGTCCGGGTGTTACAGACGAGTCCAATTACTAGAGTTCAGCAAACTCTGGTTCCCCTCCCTGGCATTTCATCCAGCCCACTTGATCCGCAGAGAGTTTCTAATCCAAACAGCCTCCCAGCACACAATGTTCCAGCACTCCTGGACTTTCACCCAGCCTCCATCCTGCCTCCGCCTCCCTCACACTAGCACTTGAAGGGACTGGGGGATTAAATTCAGTCCCCCAGGAGACAGCTACCTTAAATGCACAACTTATTGGGTTGGGGGGGGGGCAATTTGCACCTGGAGAGGGAGAGGGGTGCCTCCAGCAGCCATCCCTGACAGCAGAGCACCATGCTACCCTGAGGAGGTGAGCCAAGTTTCAGCTCTTCTGCAGGCCCAGAAAATGTGCGTGATGCTCCCTTGCTCAGCTGGCCAGCTCTTGCCCTGCTCAGCTTCCCTGCCTGCCCGCAGCCCCATCCGCAGTCCTCTCGACTTCCTCACTTGCTCGTGCACCAGCTGGGAAGCCCCCACAGCCAAGTCTCCCCAGGTGAACTGGATATACCTCGCAAGAAAAGCCGGGAGGACAGGGCAGGAGGCAGCTCTCTCTGTACAGAGCTATAGTCTGTGGCCACGGCAGAAGAGGGAAGGCAGAGGGTCTAGCTCCAGCCCCGTAACGCCCAGTGGCTGCGGACAGCCAGGGGAGCCTCCTGCCAGCTGCCCAGGGACGCACGCAGGGACCCCGCTCTCCACATTACCTGTGCTGCTGCAGCTGGCTCAGCAGGCAAGCCAGCAGGAGAAGCGAGATTTTAGCTGAGTGTATGGGAAGACTTGTCTTTCCAACTGCCTTCCCCACATGCCCCACATCCCCTGCTGCTCCCCTCGCCAGGACTGTGCCCCTCGCCCTCCTCTTCCTCACTCCCTCCTTTTCAGTCTTCCTGGGCAATTTCTCACCTAACTCACTGGGTCCTGGCAGCAGCTGCTGACTAACAACAACCAGACGTCTCTTAATTGCGGTCCCTGCAAGCCACCAGAGTCCAGTGCTTCCCTTTCAGCTCTGGAGAATCACAGGTTCTGGCTCGGCTCAGGTACGTGGGGCCACAGGGCTGACAGCTCCCGAAATCCCCATTCAGAGGCTCTCCATTCATGAAATACAAGGCAGCAGGCTAAGCACAGGGCTCTGCCCCTCAAGGGACGCCGGGCGGCTGGCCGTCTCTAGCCAGCTGTGGTGGCAGCACCCAGAGGGAAGTGCTGCAGGAACAGGGCAGGAGCAGAGCTAGCACGGAGCCTGCAAACTCTGCAGCCTGGCAAGATGCTGAGAAGAAACTGTCCTGCAATAGCTCTGGGACTGGAGCAGGGGAATGTAAACAGCCCCAGCGTCCACAAGGAGGTCATAACCTCAGAGTCCGGTTTCCCTTCCTCTCGCTCCCTCCTGCCTAATCTCCAAGGGCTGCACTGTTTACTAGTGAGATAAGTAAACAAACAAAGGAAAGCTCCCGAAATGATGATTTTTTTTTGGCCAGTTCGCTGCGTGCCCCGGTCCCAGGGTGCGCGCATGGGAGCGGTCCCGCACGCCGGGGCAGGCGGCACACAGCGAAAGGCAAGCACAGCCGGCGTCGTTTGCAGCATTCTTGCGTGGAGGGGCAAAACGGGGAATTGTGCTGCCTTGAGCAAACACCGAGCTGGATAGGCCCTGCTCCAGGCAGCCCCCAATTTATATAAGATGGAAGCAAATGGATACCCTAAAGTTGGGGAGACAGGGATAAAAAAAGGCAGAGGGAAAGGACGACTGGCCTGGCGAGCACAGCAGGGCCCGGCCTGGGCCCGGCACAGCCTCGCCACCACCAAGGCAACGTCGTTATTCTCCAGTGACTCTCCCCAGCAGGAAAGAATGAGACAAGCTCAGAGAGGAGGCAAAACCTGACTTCCAGCTAGGCCAGCAGCACCCCTCAAGCACATCCAAGCAAACCTAGACACGTGGATTTTGCCAGCCAGCCACAGGATTCAGCGAGCTTCCCCAGGCTGGCACAAACATTGGCTTCCCAGCACACGGGACTGCTTGGGGAAGTCGCAGGAGAGGGACTCTGCAGGGACTCTCAGACTCGACGAGGCACTGGATGACAAGTCACCAGTACTACGTTCCGCACAAACTGCTGATACCATGCCTAGGGCCCAGCAGTCCCCCTCGATGGCAGCTGGCTGTAGAGCAAGTCCTAAGAGGACCTGACAAGTGTAAAAAAGATGTGATGCGCATCCAGGGCCTTGCTGGTCCCTGGCAAGTGCCTGCTGAAAGCTTCCAGAGTAAACCAGTCTGCTCTGGTTTTCCTAATCTAAAAGGACAGGACACAGAGCAGAGCGATGAGGGAAAGCAGCAGAGATGAGAATTACGCCGCTGCTCCTGCCTGCTGCCTGGACGCAGAGCTCCAGGAACTAGACACAAAGGAGCAACATTCCTGCCTTATCCAGGGTCAGTTTTGGCTTTGCCAGCAAGAACAATTGGACTGCCAGGAACTGCGCCTTTCCCACCCCATTTGCTTTGGCTCTACATGTCTAGAACACTGTATTGTCCAAAGTAAATCGCTGCATACGGACTCTCCCTGCTGCTCTGCACAGACCCGATCCCCTCCCTGCTGCTCTGTCGTACAAATGCGACGTTCCTTTGTGCAGACTCCTCCTGTGCCAGGCCCACAGCATTTCCCCTCCACAGAGGCACCAACTGCAGCAGACGGCTCAGATACTGCCCCGTGCAGACACCTCCTCCTCTGCCGTTCCTCCTACAGGAACTTGGGCTCTTCTTCGGCTCCTTTGTCCAGTCCAGGCAGAAATAACTTTGCTATTCAGTCGGTGCCCACCTGGAGGGCCCAGCTATCATGTGCCACGCAGGCCTTGGGGCAGTCCCGTGAGAGGAGCTGTGCCGGGGAGATGTCACACCAGATCCCGCGCGTGCCCAGGCAGCTCCCTCCCACGGGAGGACGTCCACCTCCGCAGCTCGCCCACCTCCAACATCTTTTTGCACCCGTGCAGCCTCCGCCACCCCGCCGGCTGGGCCGGGCTGGCACCGCGGCCCTCCTGCACCGAGGCCTCCACCGGGGCCCG